GGATCAGCCTCTGAATTCCAGGACTGTCCTGGCTAAACCAGGACACCTGGTCACCCTAATCATAATCACCTTCACATTTGAACCAGCTCATCCTCACTGGTGAGACTAAGATCTAGGATAGAGGACCCCCTAGCTGTACCCTGTACTTTCTGAAAGAGAACATTTTCCTTTACACACTTAAAATGTATTCATTCGATTTATATGCTGCTCTTCCCAACAAAGGTGCAGGACAGCTTACAATGAAAAAATAGAATAAGTTAAAAAAAGGAAAGGACAAAAGGACCCAAACAACTCTAGTCATAGGAGCAGTTAAGGACTTGTTCAACGTTTTGTTATGCTATATAATGCATCTAAAGATGTCAGGGTAGTTAAAGTCCCCGGTAGTACTATTCCATAAGTGGCACTATTCCATCAGATATTCTTGTTAGCTGTTTGGAGAATACTTCATCTATGTCTTCTTTCTAACTTGGCAGGGTAGAGTAGACCCCCACCATGATATCATTTCTGTTCTTTTCCCCTTTTATCTTCCCTATGATAATCAGCAGCCTGTCATTCCAAAGCAAAGTATGTTCCTCCATGTGAGGATGATATCTTTTACTGGACCAACTATCTACTTTGAAGAGATCTTGGACACACTTTTGGTCACAGAGTACCATTCTTCAGAGCAGGTCCCATCAAGTTTGTCAATTAAGTCATAATTTTTTAACATACTGTGACCTACAGTTCATCTCAATTGTTTTTTCTATGCTCCTTGTATTTGAATAGAAGTGTTGAAAGAACTCCACAAATGCCCTACTGGTTTTTCCCCTTGCATCCTGTATTGTGATTTCTTAGCCCAGTGGTGGCCAATCGACAGAATGTGTGCCATGAGTGGCACAGGCAGCTGCTGTTTTTGCATTCAGGAGATTGCAGAGGGGGAAAGGAGCAGAGCAGAGCAGCGCAGCAGGTAGGACAGGGAGAGGAGACCAGAGTGGTGGGGGTGGGGGAGGACAGGACTTAACTCATGGCATGCCTGTCAAAGATTGGCCACCCCTGCCCTAGCCCTTTTTTGGAATTAAGCCTCTTCCCCCAGCCCTCATCTCTTAGTCTTATTTGCACTTTGGTCAGTGGGTTTTCTTTACTGTCCTTCATGGAACCTACTTTAAAGCTCTCCTTACTAGCTTAGCTGAGTGATGGCCAAAGATGCTTTCCCTAATCTTTAGGAAATTGAGCCCATCTCTTACCAAAAAAAAAAAAGTACAAAAAAGTCATTCTTTTTTGCAGAATGTCAGCTCGTTGTCAGATTTCAAAGTTTTCCTGATGACATCATATTCTGAGCCAGGAATTTACTTCCTGCTTGAGGTAAAAGCTTAGGCAGGGACTATTGTAACACGGGAAGAGCAGCACAATCTGTGCCTCAGCAAAATTTAGCTTCCTACCCAGAGCCTAGTAGTTTCCTCTGATCTCTTCAGTGTCTTCCTGGCAGCCTTATTGGTGCCCAGATGCACAGGCAGGAAATGATAGGGTGGTCTGAAGGATTTGTTGCATCCTGGATTCAGGCTTTGGGACATCTTCCTGGTGACTCCTGCCTGTCTGGGGATATGCTTTTGATCCCTGCCACCTGTTGCTCCCTCTGAAACATTCTCACCATTAGTTCCTATGCAGCGAGCCTGAACACAATTGTTTATTTCTGTCTGTGACTCCTAAACTCTGGTTATGTGTCCTCTGGAAGCCATATGGTGCCACATTCCTTCCTTATTCTTTGCTCTTGCTGGACGTAGCTGGCCATGCTGCTGAGCTGTGCTCCTCACTGCATATGTGCTGCACTGCAGCTACGCAGATGCATGGGGCATTTATCGGCCACATTATTGGCTACATCAGGCCAATTTCCAACACAGTCAATTTTCTTTATATTGGTGCCTGTCCAGTATCACAATGTATCAGTGCAACTATAACAAAAATATTCCCCCTTTTTCAAGTAATACTAATGTGGATGCTTTGTGATTTTTTTTTTTTTTTTTTTTTTTTTTTTTTTTTTTTTTACGGTCCCATAAATTCTGTGAATGTGTTGCCAGTTGCTGTTTCTGGTGTGATTAACACCTTAATTGCATCAGAAACGTAATGCATGCCAGGGGCCATAGTTGCTCCAAGCAGACACTGAGATATGCAGTAGTTAGCTCAGCAACTTCCTGTGGACTTTTGAGACCAGGCCGTAGTGGCTGCTGGCTCCTACTGGGAAGCTAGCGTTTTATTTTTAGTAAGTCCCCCCGCCGCAATTCCATGAAAAATCGCAGAAATTGCTGTTTTTCAAAGTGTTTGTGGAAATCGCCATTCTTTGTGATTTCCATCAAAACTGATATGAGCAGGTCCCTGTCTATTAGCTCCTCTGCTTGGTGTTCCAGTCTCACATAGATGTGTAAGTGTATTATGCTTATACAACTACTAGAATGGATGTGTAAATATATTAACCCATGACAAGATGAATTGATTTAAGTGGATGATCAAAGCCCCTGGAATACATGAGCTTATATATATTATATATAAATGACATTTGAAAGAGTCTTTCATGGGTCTGGTGCACCCTTTTCATAAATCGACTTGCAAAGAAGGTTACTTTCACCAAGGCTGTAAGAAAATAGAACCACTGAAAAACCATGGGGGTGTTTTCACTGATGTGGAGTGTGCTCTCAGGGTAGTTAAAAATCACTAACTTGTTGTCTCAGTGTTTGGTTGTCCCACTTGATATATATAAGATTTGATTTTTAGAGGTGTCCAGCATGCATAAGTAGTTTTAGTACTATCGGATTCTTGGATAAACTATGCAGTGCAAACATGAAGAATTATTTTTCTGGTCTTATGCTAGATTAAATATTCATCTCAAATATAAGCTTTGTAAGAGGCTAACATGAAACTCTTTATGGTGGTAACTTCCTCCCCCCCCCCAATATCCTTAATACCGCAAGCAGTATCATCCCTGCTGTTGTTTTTGTTCTGTTCTCCTGATGAGCTGAGATTCCCCTTCACTTCCTTTTCATTCTCATGTTGCTAATCTGAATTCCCAGTAGTATCAATCTCTCATTTTCAGATGCAACTATAAGGAGATTGACCTCAGTGTGCTTCCTAGTCCTCTCTTCCATGCAGTGGTTTGTTATGTACTCACATAAAAGGGTGAGTACATAACAGAAAGAAGAAAGGGGGTGTTTGCTTAAGATGCTTCTGGATTCTCATTTCTCCTCTGGCACTGAAGTTATCAGCAGTCATCAATGAATCTATTCATCTTCCTTTAAGAAAACCAACTTAAAATCATTAAATACTGCATAAACAATCTTCCCTCTTGTTAAAATTGCAGCAGACCTCTGCTGTTACACATTCAGACTTCTGGGTGCTAGTACATTTGTGCTTTCAAAGGAATCAAGCACACAATATCCTTAATAACTAGGTGTCAGAAAAGAAAGGGGTTTCAAAACATGAACTGTCAGAATTTTATGTTAGAACTCTCTTATTGCAGCGTACTCCAGCAAAAATGAGTTTAAGCTTTGGAAACTTTCCAATATATTATACCAGATATAAATCAATTGATTATATTTGAACTATTTTAGGGCCCAATCTCTGACCTGATTTAAATCATAGTTGCATTGACTTCAAGGGAACCTCAGTTGTTTGACATCAGCTAAGGGTCTGGCCCTGTGTCTCTGAATGTGAAAGGTTAATGCATTATGCTGCTCTGGTCTGACAGATGCTTTAAAAAATGCTATTCAGCTTCATATCCTCTCATTACTTTTATTTATATACTAGCCAATTCCCTATCAAGAATGACAGAGGCAGGGGAGGGGGCTGGGATGGAATGCTGCCACCTAATGCCCCATGCTGCCGCAGTGCCTCATGCAGGGAGCGGGGCGGGGGTGCCAAGGCCAGTGCTGCTGGCCTGGCTCCCCCACCCCCTGTCCGGTCCTCAGCACTGCTTGCAGGGAATGGGGTGGGGGAGCCGAGACCAGTGCTGCTGGTCTAGACGCCTCCACCTTCTGTCCGGTCCTCGGCGTGGCTTTGGAATCATGGTGGCACACTCCCACGCTTGGAGCACTCTGGCTGTTTCTGTCAGCCAATCGGAGTGTGAATAAAGCGTTACAGGCGGACAGACAGTCAGACAGACAGACTTAGGCTTTTATAAGATTGGAATTTAAGTCATTATTCTGTGAAAAGCTCAGCATCTCCTCCAAGATACGGAGCACTTTGGCAAGGTAAAACTATGAATTGCTAAATGATACGAATTCTGAGGTGCTGAGCTTGTCTTTCAAATAAGTTGCAAAAAAATGGAAAATGACATTTAATAAATTACTGGTAATAGTTTCCATACATATCAGTGATTGGGTAATAAAATGGTTAAGATTCAAGCAGCTTTCTCCTGAAACATTTTGCTGCTGGAAATTAATCTATCAGCCCTACTAATGGTTTCTCTTGTGAACAATAGGTTTAATTTCCTGAAAATACCAGCAAGATTTGTTGACAGGATGGTAAGTTTTTATAATTTTTTTTCATGTTATAGGGTTAGGATACAACTTACATTTCTTTAAACAGCAATAAACTTGGAATACATTTATTATAAAAAATTAAATTAAAAAAATGTGAATTAAGAACTAAACTGTATCTGCTGGGCGGAAATATAATGACCATAAGTGGTCTAGAACTCTTTTTATAGATTTGATTCTTAAGAATTGTGATGAGTCTTAACTTCAGTGTTCTGCTCATTTAAACTTGGATAATTACTTCCTGGTTACTTAATTCACTTTGAAAGCTGACACTTATACTGTAGTTTTTATCAGTTGGCTTAAATTATCACTGCTGTGCTCCATATGTCACTCATGGCATGGTTATGTTTTGTTGTTTAATAAAACAGCCCTTGTATAGTTAGTATTTTATTTTAAGTGCCATAGCTGCCATTGGAAGTCAAGATAACATATATAAGCCACATGTGATCGATATTATAACTTATACTTATATAGCATCGTTTATCCACAGTGCTTTGAAAAACTTAAATGCCTCTCCTGTGCTTGTGAGATAGGTGAGTGTGATTACTTGAAGATCTTTAAATTAAAACATTAAGACCTAATAGTGAAGTAAATACTTGCAAAGTTTGTTGATCTCTTCTGCCTCATATTACTAGATAGAATTAACTGAAGTCACAGAGATCTGTCACATCATGAACTGGGCTTAGCATTAAACTTGTTGGGTTAGGCTGAAAGCTATCTGTAACTCTCATGACCGTTAAGCCTACTAGTTTTCACGAACAGATGTGACCTTTCTGATAGCGTGATTTACCCAGTACTGTTTGACTGTGTATCCACTTGCTCTGTCTTGTGAGAATTCTGTATTTGAGCTCTCTAGAGAAGAGACTGTTTTATTTATGTGTATAGGATATAGCCTAGTGAGACCACGATTACGGTCTCTAGGCAAGACCACAATGTAAATGAGTAATAATAAATCTGGGAAGGATTTTTTCCAAATTCTGGGAAAATCTGGATTTAGTCTCTTAATTTGGTTGCTCTGATGTCCTGGATAGGAACCCAGAAGTGTGTGTGTTTTTCCTAAATGGGTGGATAAAACATGTCACATAGAGGATAGGTAATTTGTATAATGTTATAAAAAGCCACTGGGTATAGATTCCAGGATCCCAGTTTTGGGATCTACTACAGTGCATAATCTGGACTATGAGTCCTCTTCAGTTTAATGTTTTTAGAAAGTAATTCAGAATTGTAGAAAAGTAAGGGCTTTGTTGCACATTCACACCCCCCTCCCTACTGGCCCAAATTGGGACCAGTGCCCTTCCCCCTGCTCCCCAGATCCCCACTCACTTCTCCCTCTCCCAGCCCCTCCTCTGTGGCTGCCTGTGCTGTCTCCCAGGAGAGCAGGCAGGGAAGGGTTAACCTGCCTGCCCAGCTTCTACCCCCGCTGCTCTCTAGGCCAGGCTCATCCAGAAGAGCCACAGTGGGTGGGTAGGGGTTAGCTTGAAATGGGAGGCAGGGAAGGGATTGTATAACCTATTCCTTTAAACCCTGGAATCAACCTTGTCACACAACTACAAGGCAGATTGCCAGAAAACACCAAGAGTACCTTAACACAAGGGTTGGTAACTACAGCCCACAGGATGCAACTAATCCATGGAGCTGTCCCCCCATGGATGTGGGACTTCAGCAGCCAGATTGACCCATTCTAGGTCAGAGGCAGGTGGGGCAGTAGATGGGTGCAGAGACCCAGCCACTGCTGACAGTTTTTTTCCCAGCAGCTGCACAGGAAAAATGCTCGATGCACTTTCCTCCCACAGTGGCACAGGGAAAGTGCCACTTTCCCCCACAGTGCTGCCAAAGGCCCATGCTGCTGCAGGGAAAAGCACCAGCTGGGGGCAGTCTCCATGTGCTGCCACCAGGAAAAGTAGCAGGGATGCGCACTTTCCCTGTGCAGCTGCTGGGAAAAGTGATGGTGGCAGCAGATGGGTCTTAGCACCTATTCGCCTGCCTGCCTCTGACTTAAACTCTGTCAGTCTGGCCCACAGTTTGAAAAGGTTGCCAACCTCTGCCTTAATCTGCCACAGGGCCATGCTGCCTGTTGCAGAGGAAGGTAAAACCCACCACATTCTTAAGAAGTCAACTTAAAAACCTGAATGATAAAAGTAAAGGCCAGAGACATACGTGTGTATGTGTGCGCATGTTTAAAGAAAATACATATCATAAAGATGTGTATAAATATAGATGCGCATTCACAAGAACACAACTGTGCCTTTTAAAATACTTAAAATTTCCTTTTGTTTACAATGGTGAATTGTATTACAGAAAGCTAAGACCCTCCCCTTGATTGAAAAAGAATAATTGAAACTCCAGCAGCAAAGCATCAGAGAATTTTCTTCTTTGTTTTTTTTATTAGCCAACAAAAAGGTGAAGATTTTCTGGTAGTGTTGAAGTGAAAGGATGGTTAAGTTGATTTAAAAAAAACAAACCAAAAAACTTTGTTAAGCCATAGCTTAGAAGGAAAAAGAATTGAGTCTTGAACCCTAAAGTCATTTGGAATGCAAAAGAAGCCAGATTTGATTTTTTTAGCAATATCAAAGAATATATGATTTAAGGTAACAGATTTGATTTTTTTAGCAATATCAAAGAATATTTAATTTAAGGTAACCCCCCCCCCCACTCTGAACCAGTACCTTTCTACTTTATTTTAAGTCATCCTTAGTCTGACTTTCGGCCAAGGATATGATCATATTGATGTGAAGGTGGTATAGGGTAATGAGAAGAGTATACTTTTTGTAAATGCAAGATACTTTGCAGCAGGGAAGACTGAAATGAATAACAACACTTAAATACAAAGGTAGATTTACATGTGGAAAATCCTTTAGGAAAGCCAAAAAAAAATGAATATTAAAATTCCAGGAATACATTTCAAATAACTCAATTTCCTGTGCAAATAATGCATAGAAATCATGGCTAGAACTCCAAGAAATATATTATTGTTTTTCTCTTGAGTCTTCAAAGTTCACATTTTTTTTTCAATATTATTATTTTCTGTCAACTCTCTACTGTGTTCCAAGTCAGGTAGTTTACAAGAATCCAGCTTGGCATGAAAGAAATCAAATAGCTCATGAATGTCCAACACCCTTTAGGAGTTTAGAAGTAAAAGAACTGTTATTGAGTTGCACACCCTTTAAACCACTATAGATTGAACTTGGTAGAGCAGTGGTGCTCAACCTTTTGGGCCGTCTGGCTGGGTGAGGAGCACATTGTTTTTCCACGGGCCATATCAGGCCCGTTCCACACAGTTTGGCCCTGTGTCCTTGATTTAGTGCTCAGGGCCATGCTGACCACCCTCCAGGTTCCCCTTGAGGGTGGGTCTGGAAATTTGGCAGTTGAGGAGCAGGAGTGCTGCCACTGCTCCCCGACCACCTTATTTTTAGACCTGTGGGAAGCTCTGTGGGCTGTATGACATTTCTCTGTGGGCCAGATCTTGGCTCCGAATTGGGTGTTGAGCATCCATGTGATAGAATATGACTAGCCACTAGAGAGGAGCTGTGGATGGAGCAGTGTTGGAGGAGTTTTGCTACATTTGTACCATTCCTGGTTTGTCCACAGGTAAGAATTAGAATGTAGTGCTGCCCTTTTCAAATGTGCCCCTTTTGAAACTGCTCCAAATGTCTATGCATATGTACCCTCAGGTGCTTAAACAGCTCCTGACTGAACCTCTTGAGGTCTCTCAAGGATAGGGTTGTGTTTTGCAGAAAGCAACGGAAGCTTCAGGTCTGGTGTTGTATACAGCTCTGCTGTCCATGCCTAAATGATATGTTCTCAATACACCCATTGGATTACTAAAGGAGTAATCCAATAGTTAAATGAAAACAAGGGCTCCCCCTCTGCTATTTAAGACCATCACAAAGGTGTACTGACAAAGCAACTACATTCTTCCCTAGGGTTGCTCTATGTTGGCTTTACTGGTGTTGGTTTTAACTGTACTTGTTTTAGGCTGATAAGATTTATTTGCATTTGATTTTTAGGTAGAAATTGAAATCTGTAACAGCATAACCATCAGAGTATGAGAGTCCAGAAACCTCCTGAAACCCTGACAAAAGATCACATGACCAAGGCCAGAAAATAAAATTTGGTCTTTACCATCACTCTTATGGGTCAGGCTTGTCAGACATTGGACTGTGTAGTTCAGGTGCTCTTCTAGTACCTAATGTCATTTAAGGAAAGGGGCAAATGTTGTCCCTGGCTCCTCACAAGCAAGAGTAACCCATGGATGTGGTTATAATCTGCCAACAAATATTACAGACTACTGATAACTCTTCCTTTTTTTATTCAGTACTTCCTTTAAAATCCCTTGCTCTGCATAGAGCATTGGTAAACGTGATGATGATCAGATAAATCTACTCAAACCCTCATTTGCCTAACTTTGTAAGAACAATCCTTGGGCCTTGTCTTAGCTGCGGCTAAAATTGCACTTGGCCTTGGTTTTCCCTGTTTAATCCGACGTGTTCACACGCTCGTATACCACTACCAGTGCATCGCAGCAAGGCAGCCACTATGCTCTGTGCTATTGGGCAAACTTTGAAATAGCTTTAATGATGTTTTGCTACCACAATGTTAGTGCAGTGAATATGTGCAGTAATAGGACCTACAACACTTGAGATGTGGATAATCAGTCCCTTTATGCATGGGTCATCCATTCATTGATAGCATATTGCCATCTGCTTGTGTTCTGACTCCTGACCAGCAGTAGTCTACCTTTTATATCCCTCTGCTTGTCACTAGTGTTGTGATCCTAATTGCAATTTCTCCAGACTTCTCCAGTGTTTTTGATTTGACAGCAGAACAGCCTGAGCGGCCGCCATGTTTTGGAGTGGGGCCACCTGGCTGTATGCACATACTAGAAACTCAGCAGCTTTAGGCTTTACCCTGGCTCAGCTGCAGTCACCTTTTGCATTTCTTATGCTACATTGCCCTCAGTGCAGATACTATCTTTTTTGGTAATTCTCCTTTGCTATGAAATCTGATTGGCACTTTACAGAATAATTTCTTTTACTTTATTCATATTTTGCTCTGAACAGAGCCCTTGTAGCTGAAGAATGAGTGGTGAGAGTGACATGCTAAATACTGTAATACAAGTGGTAGCTGTGATAAAATGACACTCGTGTCTGCTTTGGATTTATTTAATTCTTATTTATTCAGTTTTGCTGAGATAAAGGAAAATTGTCAGATATGTACAGTAGACAAATACAGAAAGAGAGTATTTCCAGCAGTTGCTTGTGAAGGAATCGCATTTATTTTAAAGATGTGAAAACTGGAGGAAACAACAAATGTATTGAGTTGAAATAGCATTGCATGCTTTGAGTAGCACCTGACCTTATTTTCTGACTTGAAGCCATTGCTTTTCTACAATTTAATAAATACTAGAGGCGTAATATTTAGAACTTGTTGAACAGTGCCATCAGTCACCTAGCATTTATTTTAAATTAAAGTAAGCATTAATTAGAGGACTTCAGTTCGGAGAAGTGCAGAGAACAGAATTTTTAGCAGCATG